TGAGACCACTCAGAGTCGTGCACAATTTAAATCTTATTGTTTATTTCTGGAACTTTCCATTTACTATTTTCAGAATTTTGTTAACCATGGATAACTGAAACCAAGGAAAGTGAAAAGGTGGGTAAGCGGGGACTATTGTAATTATAGAATATTTTCAATTACTAAGTAAACATAAGTGAGAGGATGTGATAGGGTAAGTGGTGGGCTGTTTCCAAGATGGTAAAAATAGAGGGAAGTCTTGAAGGATAAGGTGGAGTCAAACACAGAGTATGTAGAAGTGGGAATTAGTATAACAGGCATTCTCAGCAGAAAAAAAGGAAAGCAAAACCTTGATTCAGAAAGAGCTTGGGCTGTTTGAGGAAGAGGAGAGAGGTCAATGGAGGTATCATTGTGTGGGCACAGCACTTTGAAATGAGGGTGGTGGGGAAGAAATGGGCCAGTTCTTGTAGAACTATGGTCAAGCAAAACATGATGATGGCTTAGACTGGGCTGGTATACACAGGGGAAGGAGACCTGCGAGTCTGGGATCTATGGTGGAGGTAGAAAATGGAGGACTTGTGGATCAATGGGATATGAGAGGACAAGAAAAAAAATCAATTAAGGATGACTCTTCAGTTTGTAGCCCAAACACTGAGTAAATAATGAAGCAACTTACTGAAATTGAAGAGATCTGAAGGACCCGGTTAAGAGAGGGAAAATTAAGAGTGCCTTGAGAGCACGTCAAAATTAAAATGCATATCAGACACTCACGTAGAAGCATAAAATAGGCAGTTGGAAATGCATTGGAAATACAGAAGTCTAAAGACCTCAGCAAAGAGGTTACTAGCTGATAGATTTCATTTTTTCAAAGGCAGGAATGATCCTATTTAAGAATTTTAGAATTTTAAGACCAGAAAAAGATTGAGATTGAAAGAGAACCCTTAGGAGTGAAGGGGGCCAAAGGAGACAGGCAAGGACAGAGCTATGAAAACAAACACACAGAATGAGCAGAAGGTTGAGGCAGAGAGTGAGAAAGAAAGGGGGAAAGTCCAGGGGACCCTGGGGCCATAGGAGCCAAATCAAAAGAAGAGGTAACAATATTGAGAGGTCAAGCAATATGAACTCCAAGAAGTAACCACTGAGTTTGGAAATAAGATGGTTCTTAAGGGTAGAAGCGACATTGGAGTTGGGTGAGTAAGGAATAGGATATGAAGAAATAAAGCCAAGTGTGGACAACTGTTTTAGAAATGCCACAAAGGAGGGAAAAGGATGAACAGGATTTTTTTTTTTTTTTTAAGATGAGAGATTTGAATGTGATGGAGATTTGGTATTCTTTTAGGCTTTCCAGTAACATCTGTATACTTTCATTTTTAGGAAATTTCTAAAATTTCTTAAATTATGAAATTATGCATCTTGCTGGGAGACAGAGTCTTCCCTCTGTCGTACAAGCTGAAAATGCCAGGTACTCACTTCTCTAGTCTCCGTGGTGAGGAGGGTGTGGCTTCACCAAGCAGATGTGCCTGCTCAGCTTGGCAGTTTGGAACTGGGATGAAACTCTCTGGTGGTAAAGCAGTGGCTGTAGTAGGATTGGGTCTCTGGAGCAATATTAGCTAGACTGCAGGGAAAATTCCCATATCCAGTGCTCAAGGGGGTGATAATGCCAGCTGCAGAATTCTTGTAATACAATCTTCTTTTGCCTAAATCCACACTGGGTTTGTTAGTTTATAAGACACATATGTTGATGGTGATGAGCAGTAGAGAAGGAAAAATTGATGATATACAAGAAAGAGAAGATAAAAGAAGGAAATTCTTAGAAGGCAAGAGGAACAGGATCAAAGCACGTCAATATTCATAGAAGAACCTGAATAACCATCATATGCTAAGTTACATGGAAAAGAGAGATGTTCCCCGTCTTAGTCCACCCAGGCTGCTATAGCAAAATATGATAAACTAGGTAACTTACATATAGCTGAAGTTCACTACTCAGTTCCGAAGGCTGGGAACTCTAAGATCAAGACATCAACAAGCATGGTTGGGTTCTGGTGAGGGCCCTTTCTGGGCTGTACACTTCTAACTTCTCTGCAATGTTTTCACATGATGGGAAAGGCAAATAGGCTTCCTAGGGCTCTTTTATAGGGGAACTAATCTCATTTCTGAGGGCTCCATTCTCATGACCTAGTCATCTGCCAAAGGCCTCATCTCTTAATATCATCACATTGGGCGTTAGAATTTTAGCAGATGAATTTTGTCAGAATATATTCAGACCACAATTTCTTTCGTGGCAGGGAAGTGGTTCTCAGGCATTAAAGTGCATAGGAATCACCTGGAAATCTTATTAAATTGCAGATTCTGATTCAGTACAGCTAGGGGGACACTAACAGTCTTCATTTTTAATAAATTCCCAGGTGATGGTGATGAATGCACTGACCCTTGGACATTTTGAGTAGCAAAGCTTGCATGGAGTCCAACCTGCACTCAGAATCCCATGGGGATTATGCGGGGACTTTTTTGCTT